ACTTTCACTTTCACTTCACTTTCACAACAGATGAATTTCACAGAGACAATGAGAAAGAAAGCAGACACCAAAGAGCAAGTGCTGCCTAACTCCATATAAGTGAAATTAAAAAACAGGAAAACCAATCTATCATAATAGGAGTCAGAATAGCAGAGTTTCTATGTTGACTGGGACTGGAACCAGAGAGCTTTCTGGTGTACTGGAAATGTTATTTCTTGATCTGGGGGTGGTCACATGGGTTGATATACTTGCAAAATTTTCTTGAGTAGTACCCAGAAACATTTATTATGCGTTCCTCCCTTTCCCAACAGGATTTCCTCTTGGCATGTAGCATTTCCCCCTGCTGATCTGTCTTCAGGAATTCCTGGATCTCTTTTCCTCCTTCCTGACCCTGGAGATTTTCCTCTCTGGAAGTTCCATCTGAATCCAAGAGCTACCAAATGGAATTAAAATACTCTTAATCAGAAGACTCCAGGTTCTCTGTTCCATCTGCCAGTTATCAGGTTATTGCCTTTCAGCTCCAAGTGTATATACAGCTCAGTGATAACTGAGCTGGACCTTAAAATAATTCTCCTTTGCTACCTGGCCAAATGCTAAGCTTTCTTGGTAGTGGACACTGGAGAGAGACTGGAGGAGACTGGAAAGAAATGGGAGGAGGAAGGGGCCAGTCTTCCAGGTTCCATTGTGTTCCCCTGGACAGTCTCCTGCAGCAGCAGACTTCTGCAGCACCTGGTGGCTACATGCATGGGTTTTTTTGTTCTGTCTTATAAATTCGGGGGATTCATGGGGATTAGTGACCTGCCAGTTATAATCTAAGTAAGGCATGGGAACTTTATTGGAATTCTGCCAGTTTGACAAATACTTTTTGGGTTTTGTGGCCAAGTGGCATGTGGGATCTTGGTTCCCCCATCAGAGATTAAATCTGTGTCTCCTGCAGTGGAAGTGTGGCGCTCTAACCATTGGACAACCAGGGAGGTCCCTACACACATGGTTTTTGTAGCACCCTGCAGCCAGCAGCACTGGCACCTCTCTGTGGAAGCTCCCTGTAGCCCCCAGGGAACTGTTCCTCAATGAGCCCTTCTGGCTCAGGGCCTCAGCAGACCTCACCACCCAGTGAGTCCTGGCTGCCCCTTCTTCAGTGCGGTCTGGAGCTCAGCCTCAGAGGGAGTCCCTCTTACAAAGATTAGCTCCTCCTTTGTGTCTATCTCAGCTCTAGGGGTAGTGACGGCTCCCTAAACCACTACTCCTGTACTCATCTGAGTTTTCTCCATCAAGTAAGCCAGCCTTTCTTTATCCCAATCCTCTGTTACAGTTAATTATTCTTTGTATTAAACTTTCCCTGTTCAACTTTCTGTATGGTTTCCATCTCCTGATTGGACCCTGACTGATACATTCCCCTTGTGGGGTTGTAGCAATTGTCTAGAGTAATCATGTACTGAGGCAGAAAGCTCTGCTACCAAATTACGGAGTGACCCTGGGCATCTTAGTCCGACTGGGCTGCTATAAAAAAAATACCATAGACTGGGTGGCTTAAACAGCTAACATTAATATCTCACAGCTCTGGAGGGTTTAAGTCCAAGCTCAGTACTAACATGGTGGGGCCCTTGGTAAAGGCCCCCTTTTGCAGACGGCCACCTCTGTATCCCCTCATGGCAGAGAGAGGGATCATCTCTGTGTCTCGTCCTATAAGGGCATCAATCCCACTCATTAGGGCTCCACCCTCATGACTAACAGTTTCCCAAAGATCCCACCTCAAAATGTTAACACACCAAGAGTTACAACTTCAATATATGAGTTTAAGAAGGGGATGCAAACATTCAGTCCTAACATTAGGAAAGCCACTTTTCCTCCTCGATTTCTCCTGGGGTAAAATGGGGGGATGTCTGCTTTTCCTCTTCTACCTTCATGGAGAAATTGTGAGAACAGAGTGGAAGCACTGTGAGATCCTCGGTGGAGATGGGCCGCAAAAATTCCTGGAGCTATTCCGCCTACTAAAGTGAAGTGAAAGTGAAAGTTGCTCAGTCATGTCCGACTCTTTGCCATCCCATGGACTGTAGCCTGCCAGGCTCCTCTGTCCATGGGATTCTCCAGGCAAGAATACTGGAATGAGTAGCCTTTCCCGTATCCAGAGCATCTTCCTAACCCAGAGATTGAACCCAGGTCTCCCGCATTGCAGGCAGATTTTTTTACCATCTGAGCCACCAGGGAAGCCCTCCACCTACTAAAATGGCTCATAAAATTGACTGTTATGTAAACCTCTGCATTAATAAATTGCCACCGCTCCCGATGCAGGGAAGGAAACAAGGGTGGAGGAATGCAAGAAGGCCTGGAGGCTTTTGGAGGTGAGCAGGGGCAGCAGGGTCTCCAGGAGATTCCAGACAAGGACAGATGGACTTCCCTGGTAGTCCAGTGGTTAGGACTCTGCTTTGCAATGCAGGGAACACAGGTTTGCTCTTTGGTCCCGGAATATCCTACATACAGCAGGGCAATTAAGCCTGGGCACCACAACTATCGAGCTGTGCTCTAGAGCCTGGGGGCCACAACTACTGAAGCCTGTGTGCCTAGAGCCCATGCTCCGTAACAAGAGGAGCCATCACAGAGAGAAGCACCACAACTAGAGAGTGGTCCCTGCTCGCCACAGCTAGAGAAAGCCCGGCAGAAACAAAGACCCAAGGCAGCCAAAAATGAATAAATAAATAATAAAATTTTAAAAGGCAAGGGTAGATGGTGAGACCTACACCTGTCTCTACCCTCAGATTAACCTGATAGTAGGAGTATACCCAGATGGCACAGCAGTAAAGAACCCACTTGCCGATGCAGGAGGCGCAGGAGACTCAGGTTGGATCCCTGGGTTGGGACGATCCTCTGGAGGAGGAAATGGCAACCCATTCTAATATTCTTGCCTGGAAAATCCCATGGACAGAGAAGCCTGGTAGGCTATAGTCCATGGGGTCCCAAGAGTCAGACACAACTTAGCGACTAAAGAGAAAGAGAGAGATAGGCTTAGTTGCTTCAAGACATGTGGTATCTTCTGGGATCAGGAATCGAACCCATGTCTCTTGCATTGGCAGGCGGATTCTTTACCACTGAGCCACCAGGGAAGCCCTCACAGGCTCTATCGACCTTACTATGTTTTTAGTATCTGGAAACCAACAGTGGAAGAGAATGCTGGAATGGCCTGTTAAAGTCTCATTTAAGACATAGGCTTCAGGAAAAAAAAACCCTGTGGATTTGAGGTGCATTCTCTAAGATGAGGTAAAGGCACTGGCCAATGGATGACACACAGAGTTGTTTCCCTATAGCTGTTCAACACACATCTAGGAATCAAGAGACGGCAGTGGCATTGATCCCTCCCACCATCACACCGAGTGGCCTCTTTTCAGACTTTCTGATTTTGGTAGATACAGCCTTTCTACTGCTGCTGCTGCCAAGTCACTTCAGTTGTGTCCGACTCTGTGCGACCCCATAGACGGCAGCCCACCAGGCTCCCCTGCCCCTGGGATTCTCCAGGCGAGAACACTGGAGTGGGTTGCCATTTCTTTCTCCAATGCATGAAAGTGAAAAGTGAAAGTGAAGTCACTCAGTTGTGTCCAACTCTTAGCGACCCCATGGACTGCAGCCTACCAGGCTCCTCCGTCCATGGGATTCTCCAGGCAAGAGTACTGGAGTGGGGTGCCATTGCCTTCTCCGAGATACAGCCTTATGCTCTGTTATATTAGAAGACCTGGCTCTTGTAGTGGGGGAAGTGGGAGAAAACTTCAGACAAGCAGTACCACAGGGTCTGAAACTACACCTGCTACCTGGATCCTTGGGAATCCCATGATGGTGAGCCAATAAGAACAGATTACAGGCAGGCAGGGCGTGATAATCGACTCTCATTGCCATGAAGAGCTAGGGTAACTATATGACAGGGGCAGGAAGGACCACGACTGAAATGGGGGATCCATGCCCAGGATAATGGTGCGCAGTCAATGACTGCAATCACTGCCCAACAAAAGCAAGGTAGCCAAGGTTCAGATCCTTTGGGATGAAGGACTAGGTCTCCCCAGTCACCAACTCTCACCAATCAAAGTGATGGCTGACAAAGAGGGAAATCTATGATGGTGATGGAGAAGGAGATGATAATAGTAATTTCAGCTTTGGGACCAGCTGCACCAGTAGGGACCATAGTTTGTTCTACTAACAGTCTTGTATTATGTTCTTGCAGAGATTGTAGCTGACCACTTTCTTGATGGGGTCTCTGTGGAAGGATATGGACCTGATGGAAAGCAGGAACATGTTGGAGAGATACAGGAGCCTTCTTGTGCCCAGATCTTGGCCACAACTCTGACTCCAGCCACTGCTTTGGCAACCAATTTTGCACAACCTTCAGTTCTCAGCCTGACTGTGCTGTGACCTGACTGTGCTGTGCCTTGGGCCCTTACTCCCTTACTCTGAAAAGTCCTCTTCCCTGTGTCTTCTGGACCCTTCTCCTACATTTCTTCCCATTCTTCTCATTAGATTATTATCATTATTATTAAAAATAGAGTATGTTTATTTGCGGGGAGCATGATTCCCGAGGGAGCAAGGCATCTTATCATTGACCACCTTGCACTCGGGATTCATGAACTTGAGCATCTGAGCCAGCAGGCGTCTGCTCACCGCACAGCCCTGTCTTCTTGGTCTGGAAATTTCTCAGCTGGTCCTTGGGGGTCACGGGCTTCTGCCTCAGGTAGCAGGGCCCAGCATCCTTGGTCACTTGCACGTCCCCACTGCTGGGGGTTGACTTCCCTGACAGGCCCTGGGGCCCGGTGTCCAGTCACAGTCGTTTGGCCACCGGCATCTTGATGGTCTGCTTCCCCTGCTCCAGCTTGCTGGCAGCTGCCCGAAGGGTGGGGGAAGTGCTGCCAGCCTTGGTGCTGGATGTGCCCAGCCAGCTGTTGCCTCCCAACTGTTTCTGCTCCCTCTTGGGGGGCGTCTTCTTCACCATAAAGCACACCAAGGAGGTTTCCCTGTTGATGTCACTCTCCTCGCTGCTGTTTCCTCTGCTTCTCCTGCAGCATGGGTGCCTTCTTGTCCTCCTGGGGCAGCTTCTCCTTCTGGCACTCATCACAGCTCACACTCTGCTTGTCCATGCCCTTGGGGCTCTCCCCCTGCTGGGTGACCTTGGGCTTGCCCTCCAGCTCCTCCTGGGAGTTGCTGCGGCTGGAGGACATGTAGTCCACCTCCTGGCCTTTGAAGTCACCATTATCGCTGACCTCAAAGGCCTCATCACCTGATCCCTTCTTCCGGCCCCCCTTGCTGGGTGGCACCTTCTTCTTAGCCTTGGGGCCCCAGCCGCCCTCCTCTCTGCTGGCCTTGCTGTCATCGGAGGACAACTCCAGGTCGTCCTCCAGGTCGTGGATGCACAGCTCAGTGGCTTTCTTGCAGCCTGGCTTCTCTTTCTCCTTGTCATCCTCCTCCTGGTCCTTCGGCCGCTGCAGCTGCTTGATGCATAAATGGTCCGGGACTGGGTTTCTCCTCTCCCACTCCTCCCCGGCAGTGAGCGTGTGGCCTTTGGCTAGCAGCATGAAGTTGTACCAGCTGTGCACAGGGAAGGCCTCAAAGGCGCCATCAGGGCACTGTGTGGAGATGTAATAGGATGTGTGCTCTATCACACCTCCCCTCTTTATGCCCTTGAACTTCCGGCCCAATTCGCAGTCCACCTGAGGCAGCTAGGGCTGGTCCTCCAGCTGGGATTCCTTGGGGACGATGCCATATTTCTTTCTTGGTGCCTCTTCCCCGAGCTTGCAGCCGAAACCCCTGCCAGCTCCCGACTTGGGCATCTCCTCCTCTTGGTAAATTTTCTTGTTGCTCAGGTCCCGTTCCAGCTGGGCCAGATTCCAAGTAGCGAGGTTGACTTTATCGGCAGCACTGAAAGCCATGATATTAAATTTTTTGGTGGTATTTTTGGGAACTCGGAGGACATACTCAGTGACATCCTGACCGCTGCGGCCAAGGACCGCCATGGGCGATGGTCAGGGTCCAGTCGGAACCTCCTTTTCGCTTCCCCCGGGGTCTGCGTCCTCTGGTCTCTGGGAAGCGACCCTCGAGGGATCAGGTCTCTGGTCTCAATCAGGGACCCCAAGCCCTGGCGAGGTGCCGTCGATCCTGAGAAAAGCTATCTGGAGGCAGCGCTGGGTCAGTGATCAGCCTCGGAAGCCTCCCGTGCCGCGTCTGCACCAGCCAGCCTCCTAAATCGGAATAGAAACTTTCCAGCAAGCCTAGTCGAAACAACCTAGTCCAAGCTGAAGGCAGCACCTTCTGTGCCCGGCGTGCTGGCTGTCAGCAATATATGGTATGATAGCCCAATCACACGGATAACGTCATCACCAGATGACCCAGTCATGTTGATAACCCAATCACGCCGATGACGTCTCACGTGGATAATCCAGTCACGTGGATAACCCAGTCATGCAAAGTCCTGTGTAGCTCTTTTGGTTCGTCTTGACCTCTGGTGGATCAGACGGTGAAGAATCCGCCTGCAATGCGGGAGAACTGGGTTCGATCCCTGGGTTGGCAAGATCCCCTGGAGGTGGGCATGGCAACCCACTCCGGTATTCTTGCCAAGAGAATCCCCATGGACAGAGGAGCCTGGTGGGCTACAATCCATGGGGTCGCAAACAGTTGGACAAGACTGAGTGACTAAGCACAGCACAGCCCTGTAAATATAGGTTCTCCCCAGAGTCCACTCTTGGACTCCCTTCTTGGTGTACACATTCTCTCCAGACAGTCTTGTCGCTCACATTGCTTCGATCTTTACTTTTATTAAGCTACTTCCCAGCTCTCCAACTCTACTCTCATATTTCAGACCCACATTTTCAACAGCTGTCTAAGGACTTGGACAAAGAAAGCCAACCAATATTTCAAACTCAGGTAGTTCTTGCCAAAGAGTGACTGTTCTTTTGCTATAGGAACGTTGTGGGCTCTACATATTTAAAGCACTTTCTATTTTTACTATAATGATTAAGAAAACCACACACACAACACGACACACTCCTGGGATTCTGAGCAAGAGGAGTTAGTGAGCATCCCTCCACCACACCACCACCACCCCCAAATTCTCAGTACCTGATTTTGTCCTCCACCTTGCCTCCACCACATACTTCACAATAAATCTATAAATATGCACTTACCAGTAATTAAAGCCAAGAATCTTGGTTGTGCATCCGAATTCCTGCCCCTCTCTTCCATATTTCTAGCTCATTCCTTTACTAACCAGACTCCAGTAATACTTTCCCCCACAAGGACCTGAAGTCCATTTTTCTCAGTCCCTCTTTCCCCAGATGTCCCCTCTTCCCTCCTTGACAAATTTAATTTTCTCAGCCAATTTTCACAGTTGCTCTCTTTATCACAATCTAATTCCCCTGCCCCTCTTTCACTTCATGATACTTAATTAGAAAAATGAGAAACCAAGTTAAATCCAGCCCTACACCTCCTCCACACCTGTCTTCATGCACCTGAACCTGACTGGAGAAAAAGATATTAAACTGCTGACTGTTTCCTCTTTAAACTCATGACCACGAGCCTCAAGCACATCTCAACTGTCTGTAGCCAGACAATCATCTGATACATCCTATAATCCTTTCACTCTCCTATAGGTTTGAATGACGATTTCTTCACTTGTTTTCCCCTCAGACCTCCAACACCTTCTCTATCTTCACTCCTTACTTGCAACCCTGCTTCCTGTTTTACTGAGGAAATGAAGTGCGTCAGAAAAGAACTGTCCTGAACTTCCACCTACTGCATCTAAGCTGGCATATTCTGTCTTACCTCCTTGACTATGGATAAACCTTCCGTGGTCCTGAGTAAAGCCAATCCCTCACCTCAAGGACATCTCCCCAGTAAATCTACCTCTTTCTCTCTCACAACATCAGATTTTCCCTCTCTACTCTTTCCCATAAACATACAATCGTACTATTATTTCTCTTATTTTTGAAGAAAAACTCTTGGCCCTTCCTTCCCTTCTAGCTACCATCCCATTTCTCTGCTCCCCTTCCTTGAGAAAAAAAAAAGCCACTTGAAAATATCCTTGTACTCATTGTCTCCAGTTCTCTATTGAGTCCACTTCAGTCAGGCTTTGGTCTTTTCGAAGGTCTTGGAACAATATCACCAGTGACTTCTGTGTTGCAAAATCACTGCCTCTTCCTCCTGGAGTTCATTGATTTTTCCTCCTGGAAATACTCTCTAATAACACACCACAATCTCTGAGTTTTCCTTCTTCCTCACTATCTACTCCTTCTCAGCCTCCTGGTTCTTCAACTTGTACATCTTTACTTTGGAGCACTCCAGGGCACTCTTTCACTTCTTTTTCTATAGAACTCCTTTGGCAATTTCATCTAATGTTATAGTGTTAAATATAGTTTTTTAAACAGTCAACATTTTTAAAAAAATTGAAATGTAGTTGACTTACTAATATTGTGTTAGTTTCAGATGTACAGAAAAGTGATTCAGATTTTTTCCAGATGATTTCCCATTATACATTATTATAGGATATTGACTACAGTTCCCTGTGCTATATAGAAAATACTTGTTGCTTGTCTATTTTATGTAAAGTAGTTTACATCTGTTAATCCCATGTTCCTAATTTATCCTTCTCTCCTTCCCTTTCCCATTTGGTAACCATAAGCTTGTTTTTCTATGTCTGTGAGTCTATTTCTGTTTTGTATATCAATTCATCTATATTATTTTTAGATATCATATAATATTTGTCTTTGTCTGACTTTCTTCACTCAGTATGAAATTCTCTAGGTCCATCCATGTTTCTGCAGATGGCAATTGTTCATTCTTTTTTAAGTTTATTTATTTTTGGCTGCACTGAGTCTTCGTTGCTGCGTGAAGGCTTTCTCTAGTTGTGGAGAGTAGGGCCTACTCTTTAGTTTCAGTGTGTGGGCTTCTCATTGCAGTGGCTTCTCTTGTTGTGGAGCACAGGCTCTAGGCGCACAGGCTTCAGGAGTTGTGGCACGAGGGGGCTCATTAGCTATGACTCAAAGGCGAGTGTGTAGGTTTCAGTAGTTGCAGCTTGCAGGCGCTAGAGTATGGCTTCAGTAGCTGTGGCACAGGGGCTTAGTTGCTCCAAGGCCTCTGGAATTTCCCTGGACCAGGGATGGAGCCCATGTCCCTTGCACTGGCAGGTGGATTCTTATCTACTGCACCCCAGGGAAGTCCTTATTCTTTTTATGGTTGAGTAATATTCCATTATATATGTGTGTGTGTGTGTGTGTGTGTGTGTGTGTGTGTATACACCACATCTTCTTAAACTAATCATCTGTTGACATTGTTAAAATGGCCATACTATCCAAAGCAATCTACAGGTTTAATGAGACCCCTATCATAATACCCGTCACATTTTCCACAGAACTAAAACAAAAAATTCTAAAATTTATGTGTGGGACTTCCTTGTTTGTCCAATGGTTAAGACTCTGAGCTCCTGATGCAGGGGGCCCAGGTTTGATCCCTAGTCAGGGAACTAGATCCCATATGCAGCAACTAAGACACAGTGCAGCCAAATAATTTAAAACATAAATTAAAAAAAAATAAAATTTATGTGAAACCACAAAAGACCCAGTGTCAAAAGGAATCCTGAAGAAAAAGAACAAAGCTGAAGGCCTAATTATCCCAGACTGAGGACATATTACAAAACTAGCAATCAAAAGAGCAGGATATTGACACAAAAATAGACATATGGATCAATGGAACAGAATAGCGAGCCCAGAAATAAACCTACATATGTAGGGTCAATTAATCTTCAACAAAGGAGGTAATTATGTACAATGGAGAAAAGACAGTCAGCAAGGGCTGTTGGGAAAGCTAGACAGCTACATGTAAGTCAATGAAGTTAAAACACACCCTCACACCATCTACAAAAATAAATTCAAAATGTTTAAAGACCTAAATATAATACATGACACCATAAAACTCCTAGAAGAGAACATAGGCTGAACATTCACTGACATAAATCATACCAATATTTTCTTAGATTGGTTTCCAAGGCAAAAGAAATAAAGGCAAAAATAAGCAAGTGATACCTTATCAAACTTAAAAGCTTTTGCACAGCAAAGGAAACCATCAATAAAATGGGAAAAAAGGCCTACAGAATGAAATAGAATATTTCCAAATGACACAACTGACAAGGGTTAACATTCAAAACATACAAACAGCTCATACAACTTAATATAAAAAAAATTACTTAAAAATTGGACAGAAGACCTAAATAGACATCTCTCCAAAGAAGACAAACATATGACCAACAGGCACATGAAATTAGTGATGCTCAACATCACTAATTGTTAGAGAAATGCAAATAAAAACCACAATGAGGTAATACCTCACTCCAGTCAGAATGGCCATCATTAAAAAATCTATAAATAATAAATGCTAAAACGTGTGTGAAGAAAAGGGAACACTCTTACACTGTGGGTGGGAATGTAAATTGAGGAAGCCATTATGGAAAACCGTATGGAGATTCCCTACAAAACTAAAAATGGAGCTACCATATGATCCAGCAATCCCACTCCTGGCCATATATCCTGAAAAGGTGAAAACTCTAATCTGAAAAGATACATGCATCCCAGTGTTCACAGCACCATTATTTACAGTAGCCAAGATATGGAAGCAAACTGAGGGTCCATCAACAAATGAAGGGATACCACCATGTGTGGTATCACATGGCGCACAAACATGTAAAGACAGGGAAAGATGTTCCATATAGCACATAACTACATTTTCAACATTGCATTATGTGGGATGTGACACTTCAGCTCTGGGGTAGGGGCAGGATCTTCGGTTGCAGCCTTACCCAGAAGCCCTGCTTTGAACCACAGGCAGATGTTCCTTCAGTCCTAAGACCCAACCACATCAGGCTGCATCTGGGCCAGGAGTAATGGTCAGGATCGCATCCACCTCCTGGTGGTTCTTATAACCATAGACCAACCATCTTTCCTTTACCAAGGGGGCTCCTTTTCTTTTA